GGTGGGTGGTGTCGACTGCGCCCTAACGGGGGGATGTTCCCTGTTGGCGATCGAAGGCGGGGCCACTTGAGCACAGTCTGTCCCTTCATCTAAAGCGACTCGTTTGGAGATCCGGCTCTCTTCAAAGCTGTCAGCAGACGTGCCGTGCGGTTTCTGCTGCTTTTGTGTGACTGCCGCGGTGTCGGCCCAGATGGAGTCTACAGAGACAGGCAGGTTCTTGAGCTGTCTGTGAGCTCCACCGAGTTGTTCGAGCGTTCCGCAGTGGCTTGTGAAGCCTTACTTAAGCCTCAGCAATGGCGGGCGCCCCGTCCCCCGCCAGCCTCACTGACGTGCCTTCTTGTAGATCGCGACGCGTGTGTAGCGAATGAGGGAGGCTCGTGTGGTGGACCTACCGGCAGTTGGGATTATGAGTCTCCTGGGTGCCTGTGTTGTTAAAGCGCAGTGATGTGAGGGTGGAGTTACCGGAGTTTTCCAGGGTGGTGGTGTGTCTAGTTCCGCGTCCTGGCTAGGAAAAGGGGATTCCTCTTCCCTCTTGTGGCTGTCCCGGCTTCCCAGGTGAGGCGATGCCTCGCCCTGCTTTAGCTCTCGCTGGTCGGGCTGCAGCAGCTGACCAGCACCGATTGTCTGGCACTCCCTAGGGAGATGAACCCAGTACCTCAGTTGAAAATGCAGAAATCACCGGTCTTCTGTGTCGCTCGCGCTGGGAATTGGAGACTGGAGCTGTTCCTATTCAGCCATCTTGCTCTGACACATCCCTTTTTAACACATGTACATGGTAGAGTGGGACTGACAATGATGCCCTTGTCTCTTTTCATTGCAATACAGGATTATGGCTTTGTCAAGATACCCAATTGTGAAATCGGAGCATCACCTTCTTCCGTCACCAGAGGGCGAGATCGCACCAGCCATCACATTGACCGTTAACATTTCGGGCAAGCCGGTAGATTTTGTCGTGACACACTTTGGGAACCACGAGTGGGTTTCTTTGGCCTACCTAATGTTACACAAATGCGAAGAAACGTTATTAACAATGTACTTTGATTTCTATGAAATCACCTTTCTCATTTTCTTCTTTTTTACCTCCCAAAGTATTTCTCCCTGTGTTGCTGGTTTTTAAAATCAGACAGAAGCATTTAAGATGCAGGCAGCTGTTAGTGCTGGTGTAGGGACGGGCCGTGTTAGTCTGCACTTACTGAGCTGTACGGTCAATTCCCTGTGCAGGGACTGTCCAAAGTACATTACTGTGTTTGATCTTCACTCTGTGCAAGGTAAGCACTATTAGAGTCCCATTTTGCAGGTCAAGAAACTAGGCTGAGAGAGGTCAGACAACTCATCCAATGAGGAGCAAGCACAGGGTCAGGGCATAGGCAGCCCCAAACCCAGGGCTGCAAGTGCTTGCAACTACACAATAAACCACACAACAGAAAAAGAAATTCCCTTTTCCTACAGGATTACTGCTACAAATGGAAGTACTGTTGGGATTTGAGTTTATTAAATGACATCTCTTCTCTCCCTCATGTTTTCACAAACAACAGATAGGCAGAGGAATCTGGAAGAGGGAGATCTAAATATCACTTTAAATACTGATAAGCCTGTTTGGAAAACCTGGCTTAAGTGCCCATATGGACTTGTGAATACATCCCCAAATATATATGAAAATGACTCCCCCTAAACGGTGGGCCTACCCTGCCTGCCCTGGCAAGCTCTCTCGTTGATGGAAAGAAGAGGATGGAAAACAGCCTGTTTGCAAACTGGCAGCTTCCAAGGAGAATAGAAAAGAAGGATTTGAGACAAGCACGTAAAATTAACTTCAAGATTATTGAATTAGAAAAGTCCTCCCCAAAAGTAAAGAATGGGGAGAGAGGCCAATGGTGGTTTTCTAAGGAAGTCCCTCTACAAGCAACATGAAGAGTGGGGAATGAGTTTTACCACCAAAGAATAACATTTACGACCAGTGACAGTACTCAATAAATGATGAATAATCCCAGCAATATATTGTAAAAGCAAACATAAACGTATATAACTTATACTCTACCATACCAAACCACAATAATTTAAACATGAATGTAAAGAGCTACGTGCTATGACATTCACATGCAAGCTTTGCCTGCATTAATGACACAAGAGGCCACAGAACTTTAAAGTGACATACTTTTGGAAAACAACATCATTGTACTATGTTTTATTTAAACAAATTGATGTGTCTGCCACTCTTATTTCCCTGGTTACCTCACTGTTTCTAATACTATTATGTGAATCTGTGAAAGCATATTTGAATATTTTCTTAAATAGGTCAGATAATAAATAATATAAATAAACCTTCCAAATATAATTAATATGAACCATTCATGAACCAGACTCTTGCTTACCTCCTTAGAAATAAGAGGAGTGTTTGGAGGATGGATGATATAGATGGCTCGTATCTCTTAAAAAAGCTGTTTGAAGAAATGCTTTCTGTTGCTCCCAGTGATTTTCATGTAGGAAGTACAGACATTCAGAAATCATTCCCATGACCTTATGTTGTACTTAACATTGGGTTTATCTTTTTTTTAAAAAGGTACTTTCTTGTTTAAAGGTTGCAAGTTCTCAACCTAAGAAACAGTTGAACTCCTTCCATTTTTCCTTTGCCTTTTTCCCCCGTCCCCTTTAACTCTCTCCAATATGTCCCAAAATGTGAAGAATAGGTTTGAAAAGGAAGAGAAAGCTAAAAGAGAGCCCTAGGAATGCGCTTGAAAAAGAGGAGGGAAGGATTGCCTTTTCTCACTTTCTGTTAACCACATACTTAAAGTTCTCTGGATAACACCATATCCTTTACTTGCTGTCTTGCTCATTTGATTCAATAATAATGACAACAACAATAGCAGTAACAATAATAGTGAACACTTATTGAGGATACATAACTCCAGGGATGAAGGCAGTGTAGTTTAATGATTAAGAGCATGGGATTCCAGAACCTGGAATCAGACAATCCGGTTTGAATCCTAATTCTTTAACTAGTTGTGTATCCTTTGCTGAGTTACTTAACTACCTCGAGCTTTAATTTTCTCAACTGCAAATCAGGGGCAATAATCCTACCTATTTCGTGGGGTTCTTGTGCCCATAGTACCTCATACAATGTACATGAATGTAGTAAGTGCTCAATTAACATGGCCGTTACTAAACCAAATCAGACAACTATGAATATAAGGTATATTGGGCAGCTTAAAAAATAATTCATTTATCAAACATGAATCAAGCATCTGACATGTCCCACGCACATGACTAGACTTTGTCTTTGCTTTAGGAACCACTACTCTGAGCCACCCCCCAGAATTACTGTCTGGTACACTGTAGCCTCCCCAAAAGTGACATAGGAAAGTTAACACCTTGAATAATTTGTGACGCGATCACTACATGTTTTATTTGTCTTTGTTTTCTACAGTACTAAATACACAAATTCTTACTGTGAAAAAATATTTAGAGATTTCATTTTCCAGTGATTATGGCATATAAATGTGAAAATCCTATTAGGAATGAATAATTCCTAATGCTTGTGCATGTTATTAGCTTATTCAAAAGATTTTAAAAAGTACTGACTACATAAGTACATCTTTTATAACCACTAAATAGGAAATGGCAGCATTTTTTAGAAGTCACACAGGCAAACACCCTAACGAAAATTGATATTATTTTAGGTAATTAACTGAGCCACTAATCGCCATTTAAAGAAATCTATAACATGCATCATAAACAAAGAGGAGAGAACACAGAATCCATAGTCTGACACTATGTGACAAAGAACCAAAACTGTGTTCTAGGTTTCGTTCCATTGCAGGTAAACCTTGGTAAGTTCCAGTTCTCGTGTCTCTGAAAATGGGATAAAATTCCCTTTCCCAGCTTACTTTATAGGGTTATTGGACTGACAAAATATTAACAGATAAGAAAACATAAAGCATATGTGAGCTCTGTCTCTTTCTTTCTGTCTTGCCCTCTTTCCTTATACACATATATATACTTTTAACTTTTATTACTCTCACTAGGTAAGATTTATCTCCTGAGAAAATGTAAAACCAAATTCACAGATTACTTCCAGTTAGATGTTACTAAAATATGTTGGATTGAAAACACTTCCTGTGGTTCAGTGGCTTTGGAATTTTCTAGACCTGAATTTGAATCCTAGTTGTAGGTATCAGATGGAACAGAATTCCCTGCAGACCTAATGAAAGAACTACTTAACAAGATGCTGGAGGGACCCATGGAACAAATAAGAGAGGCCGAGGCATTCAGACACCCATAACAGTGCCTGCCTTAGGGCTGAAGGAACAGGCAGAGAAAACAGTGTTCCCAGAGCCCAGTGAGACCCAGAACCAGGACAAGGGACCACCTAGCATAGAATGCAGCTACTGCCAGAGAGACTGGGGAAGGAATCCCAGAATGTTGCTTTTCTCCCACATTTTAATCTCCTGTGGTGCCTCCAATTGGCCAAACCTAACTTGAAACCAGGAGAGAAGGAAGTCCAGGAGGTGAAATCTGCAGGGGTCAGCCTCCCAGGGCATAGAGAAAGACAGAGGATGAATGTGGTCAGGGGAGATGAAGAATAACCATAGGCATATTAGCCTCATTTGAAAATAGAGCTACCACCTGCCTTCTGTTGTGAGAATTCAGTAGCAAAGGGGTTTAACAAATGGCCATTCTTTTCACTCTTTTATTTCTTGAGACATCTTTTAATAGCCCTCAGCTGTCTACACAAATTTATCCAACTCAGTCCTGTCTTGAGATCCTAACTCAACAAGGTTTCTCCAGTCTTCTCAGTGCTTGGTGATCTTCTATTTTCTTTGTCATTTTCTCCCTTAACACTCATGTATTAGCTACCTTTCTATGTAAATACCCTGTTTGTCTACTTCCTATCTGTTCTGGGCTCCATTCCTTGCTCTTACTCTCAGCTATGCATTGCAGAGAACTGCATTTCTCACAGTCCCTTGCCTTCTGGCTTCTGGGTAGGTTTAGCCAATGGGAGGCACTAGTGCAAGGTTGGAGGGAGTAGAGAAGAGAGTGTATTTCTCTCCTTCTCTCTCTGCTTCCTCTGGTGTCTATGGGAGGAGTTGAGTCTCTTCTGTGGCTCCAGTTCTTCTCTGAATGGTCCCAGTTTCTCTGGGAAGCCTCCTCCATTGATACATCTCCCACTAGTCAGTGCTGGCTTCTGGACTCTGATAATATCACCTCCTCTTGTTTTCCCTGTAGCTGTAGAGGTTGTACTGGTTTCTTATTGTTGTTAATCTCTGATTGCATAATTGACTCCTATCTGGCTTCCCATCACCTGGCTAACCAATTCCCTATATTAAATTCACTTTGTTTGAAACATCTAGGGTGTTTCTGTTTTCCTGGCTGGATCATGTAAAATATGATGTCCTATTTTCCCCCAAACAGACTGACTCTAAACTCCCCAGGAGCTAGATGTACCCACCTAAGTATCTCAGTTATAGGTTTACAGTGCTTAGCATAATAAAAGCACCATGTTCGGCCGGTGTTTGAGCAGGAGAGTTAAGAAGGCTTTCAGAAAGTGTTCAGTTGGGCTGGGCAGTGGGTCATGCCTGTAATCCCAGTATTTTGGGAAACAAGGTGGGTGGATTGCTTGAGGCCAGGAATTCAAGACCAGCTTGCCCAACATGGAAAACCCTGTCTCTACTAAAAATACAAAAATTAAGTCGTGCATGGTGGTGTGTGCCTGTCATGCCAGCTACTCAGGAAGCTGAGGCAGGAGAATTGCATGAACCCAGGAGGTGGAGGTTCCAGTGAGCTGAGATTGTGCCATTGCACTCCAACCCATGTGACAGTGTGAGACTCCGTCTCACAAAAAAAAAAAAGAAAGTAGGTTTAGTTGAAGGAGCTTAGGTTACATAAGCCTGATGGGCTCTGCAAATGTCAGGATTCTTCATCTTACCAGTATTCTTGGCTCTTTTTACTTTTTTAAACTACTAGTTCTTTAGCTGTAATACTGATGGTGAGTTCTCACATTATTGATTTAATTTCTTCTGATGAAAAGTTGAACAAATGCTGTATTTAGAGTTGATCTTTAAATTGACTGGACTCCAAATGATTTGTGAAAAAAGGTCATGTTCTCAGCCAAATGTCTGTCTGCCTACTCATTTGAAGCACTGTATCTATGTCTTGTTCATTTGTATAACATTAAGACATTTGCCCGAGTAGGAACGACTCTGGGCTTGTTCACTATGTGCAGATCATCTTTGAGGTAACTAAGACGTTTTAAAGATTGTTTTACAAATACTATAAAGGGTCATATTTTTACATTTTTTAGAGATGACCTCGACAGGAAACTGCAGGCTATTGCTGTTTCAAAACTACTGAAAAGTAGCTCGAATCAAGTGATATTTCTGGGATATATCACTTCAGCACCTGGCTCCAGAGATTACCTACAGCTCACTGAACATGGCAATGTGAAGGTAACATAATCTTAATAGGATTTATAATTTATTAAGTAAAATACTTCTTTTTCTTTCATGTTTTTAAAAAAATCAACCTCACCTAACAATTTAATGCGCAGTCTGAGTATCTACTGCTGCATAGAAAATCACCACAAAACATACGAGCTTAAAACAGCAGCAATCTTCTATTTGCTCATAAATCTGCAATGCGGACAGGGCTCAATGGGGGTAGCTCATCTCTGTCCCATGCAGGGTCAGCTAGGTGGCTCAACCAAGGACTAGAGGATCTACTTCACAGTAGATTTATATGTCGCAAGTTGTGCTTTAGGCTTGGGACCCTGGTTCCTCGCCATGGGCTACTTGGGCTTCTTTCCTGCATGTTGGCTGACTTTCAATAATGAGTATCCCTAGAGAACCAGAAAAAGCCTATATTGCTTTGTATGGCATAGCTTTATAAGTCATATACTGTTACTCCCGGTGTCATCACAAGTCTGATCACATTAAACTCTTGATGAGAGGAATATAAAAACCACATGATAAGAATACTAATGGGAAGTGAGATTTTATTGTAGCCATGTTTAGAAAACACAATCTGCCACATTATGAAAGTTAATTATGGGTTTGGGCATGATGGCTCATGCCTGTAATTCTAGCACTTTGGTAGGTCGAGGCGGGCGGATCACGAGGTCAGTTGATTGAGACCATCCTGGCTAACACGGTGAAACCCTGTCTCTACTAAAAATACAAAAAATTAGCCAGGCGTGGTGATGGGTGCCTATAGTCCCAGCTACTCGGGAGGCTGAGGCAGAAGAATGGCATGAACCTGAGAGGTGGAGCTTGCAGTGAGCCGAGATTGCACCACTGCACTCCAGCCTGGGCGACAGAGTAAGACTCTGTCTCAAAAAAACGTAAATAAATAAATAAATAAAATAAAAAAAGAAAGTTAATTATGGCATTGAGAGTAAAAGACAAAATGAAATGCCTCATAGAGAGAATGGCTAATCAGCCAACAGGGCCACAGCAGATGACACTGAATTACTCTACATTTTCAGGTCTAAAACACTTGAATTTGTCAGTTTACCAGAATATAATAATGTTCTGGGGAACTGCCACACAAATAAATTCTCAGAAGATTGAGATATATTTATATATATCATATATATATATGATATATGATATATATCATATATATGAGATATATGATATATATACATACTACAATGCCAAATGAATTAATTTAGAATGAGAAATATGATTGTTATATTTAGTTATGCCCTATGCAGATGTCTTGGTTCCTTTCATTCTGTTTTATCTCATGTCTTGAGATAATATCTGCAGAGAAAAAAGCTTATCCATCTTATGTTGATTTTACTACTTAAATCTTCTTAGGGTGTAACATTATTTACAGAGCTTGGAAGACAGGTGAAAGAGAGCATGGCATGATGAGAGTTATCTGCATGTGACAGAAAATAACAGAGATCATATTTCTTTACGTAAAAGTCTGGGCAGGTGAATCAGCACTGGAATGGCACTCTGTGGTGTTTGGAATCTGTGTTCTATCGTGTGCTTCCATTTGACAAGGCCTATATTTCCAAACAGCAGCCTTTAGGTTGTAGCTAGCAGGATAGAGGAAGGGATAAAGAAGGGGCCAAGAGCATATGCCAGTCCCTTCTAAAGGCAAAACCCAGAAACTGATCTCTAACACTTCTACTTATATTTCACTGACATAAATTTAGTCTAATGGACATACCTTGCTGTACAGAAAGTTGAGAGGTGCAATGTTTAGTCCTGATGGCCATATTCACAGCTAAAAATACTACAATTGGGGGGCGGAGCAAGATGGCCGAATAGGAACAGCTCCAGTCTCCAACTCCCAGCGCGAGCGACACAGAAGACCGGTGATTTCTGCATTCATTCAAAGCTACCAATCGAGTTTCTTCACAGAAGTTGGAAAACACTGTTTAAAGTTCATATGGAACCAAAAAAGAGCCCGCATCTCCAAGACAATCTAAGTCAAAAAGAACAAAGCGGAGGCATCACCGCTACGTGACTTCAAACTATACCTATCAAGGCTACAGTAACCAAAACCAGCAAAATAACTGGTACCAAAACAGAGTAATAGACCAATGGACAGAACAGAGTCCCAGAAATAATACCACACATCTACAGCCCATCCTGATCTTTGATGCAAACCTGAGAGAAACAATGAAATGGGGAAAGGATTCCCATTTATAAATGGTGCTGGGAAAAATTGGTCCATAAGTAGAAAGCTTGAAACTGATCCTTCCTACTCCCTTATACGAAAATTAAATTCCAAGATGGATTAGAGAGCTTAAATGTTAGACCTAGATACATAAAAAGTCAGAGGAAAACCTAGATAAGTACCATTCAGGACATAGGCATGGGCAAAGACTTCCATTCTAAAACACCAAAAAGCTAACAGCAAGCAAAAGCCAAAGTTGACCAAATGGGATCTTATTAAACTAAAGAGCTTTTTGCACATCAAAAGAAACTACCAATCACAGAGTGAACAGGCTACCAGAATCGGGAGGAAAAATTTTGCAATCTAACTCCCATCTGAACAACACGGTCTAAATATCCAGGAACCTACACAGAACTCAACCAAATTTACAAGAAAAAACAACAACCCCATCAAAAAGTGGCGCAAAGATATGAACAGACATTTCCTCCAAAAGAAGACATTCATACAGCCCAACGACCAATGAAAATATGTTCATCATCCTGGCCATCAGGAGCACAAATGCAAAATCAAAACCACAAATGAGATACCCCATCTCACACCGAGTTACGGAAATGGGCGACTCATTAAAACAGTCAGGAAACAACAGGTGCTGGAGAGATGTGAGAAATAGGAACACTTTTACACTGTTGGTGGGATTGTAAACTGTTAACCATTAATGGAAAACAGTATGGCGATTCCTCAAGGATCTAGAACTAGATGTACCATATGACAAGCCATCCCATTACTGGGTCTATACCCAAAGGATTATAAATCATGCTGCTATAAAGACACATCGCACTACGTATGTTTATTGCAGCACTATTCACAATAGCAAAGACTTGGATCAACCCAAATGTCCATCAGTGACAGGATTGGATTAAGAAAATGTGGCACTATACATCCATGAATCTATGCAGCCATAAAAAAGGATGAGTTTGTGTCCTTTGTAGGGACATGGATGCAGCTGGAAACCATCATTCTTAGCAAAACTATCACAAGAACAGAAAACCAAACACCGCATGTTCTCACTCATAGGTGTGTAACTGAACAATGAGATCACTTGGACTCAGAAAGGGGAACATCACACACCGGGGCCTATCATGGGGAGGGGGGAGGGGGACGGATTGCATTGGGGAGTTATATTCTGATGTAAATGACGAGTTGATGGTCAGCACAG